TCAAGGGCACAGAGAGACAGCGTAAACTAGGACAAGCTGGGGTCTGGTACACAGTAAACAGTAAGCCGACAACCAGAACAGATAAGGATAAAGAGAAAACGTAGTCAGAAACAAAGCCAAAGTCAATACGGAGAAATACAAGTGAACACAACAAGCGCTAAAGGGAACTGATACAGAAACCACGATAGGGCAGGGAGTAAAGGGAGAGGTAAGTTTAAATAGCTTCTCAACTAATGTGATTGGCTCCTGTCATATCCACACCCCCAAAAGGTAAGTGTATGGGGAGTGTGGCATGACAGGGGCCAATGGGAGCCTTTTAACAATTTAGGCTCCCACTGTCTCTTTAAGAGCGCGCCCGAGACTCGCGGCGCGCTCTTAGATTCAGGCGGGACACGTGACCGCTTCTCGCGGTCACTGCCCGCCTTTCTAGTGAGGCTGTCGGATGAGCCTCGCGCGGCTCGTGCAGCAGCAGGACCGCGCGCGGCTCGAAGAGAGGACCGCGGCCGGCCACTGGAGAAGGTGAGTAACGCTACAAGCAAATTCCAACTGATTGCAGTGAGACTATCTACGTGTTAATTGTTGAATGTTTCCCAAGTTCTATTTTGATAATACCAAGGTGAAAGAGCAAAGACCAATGTTTATGGAGATCCACCCACATTGCCTGTTAGATCTGATTTAATATTGTCATTAACCTGACCTAGTTTTAATTAATACTTACTATACATATCTGTTCGTCCACCCATTGTAAAGCGCTGCGGAATTTGACGACGCTCTATAAATATCATAATAATACTAATAATAATAATACTTCCCAAGCTTTCAAAATGTTAAAATGAACATTAAGTAGTCATATATCTCAACCTTGCCTCACATACTTATTTATGTAATATTTCTAGGTTTTAATATGACAATGCAACTTGCTGGCATTTCGCATCTGGACTGCCCGTATGGGTGGGACCAGTCTGATATGCTTCAGATATGTTCTCTCTGTAATGGAACAAGATGAGCTAAAACCAGCTTGAGATCTGAGCGGGGACCCACCAAAGGGCAGGCTATTTCAGATGCTATTCATTCTCAGTACACTCTTGCGCCTGTTTTTTTGCTCTACATAAGTTTAAAGTGTAATCCAGACGTGGACCCCTTGCTCACAGTGCCTAGAGAGATATCAGCTATGCCTCACTGATGATGCCTAACAAGGTTGAAACGATCATCTGGGGTTGCTCTGTCTCTCGTGCAGCGGGAACTTGCTGGCATTTCGGATCTGGACTGCCCGTATGGGCGGGACCAGTCTGATATGCTTCAGATATGTTCTCTCTGTAATGGCACAAGATGAGCTAAAACCAGCTTGAATTCTGAGCGGGGACCCACCGAAGGGCAGGCTATTTTAGCTGCTGTCCGTTCTCAGAATACTCTTGCGACCTGTTTATTGCTCTCTTTAATATGACAATGAATATAAATATGTACACATTATAATGAATACTTTAATATATATATCTCTATCTACAAAAAAAGTCATGGTGCTTGCACTTCTGGAATATGTTTTAGTGCCTGGTGCTGGTCAGGCACAAAATATAGAAAAACTGAAAATGACCGCACTCTAGGGACTTTGTTATAATAAAATATAACTTTTAATTTATGTCATTAAAAATCATCGATGTTTCAGCCCCAGTACATGGGCTTTCATCAGGATGGCAATAAAACCATTTATTATAACCCTTACAAAGTCCCTAGAGCGGGGGTAGGCAACCTTTTAGTAGCACTGTGCCGATATAGTATTGTGATGTCCCGTAGAGTGCCGATCCAATTTTTTTCACTTGAGGTGTGTATGCTGCTGTATTCTGCTTGTGTTATTTTTACTGTAATTGCTTTGTATCGTTGTATTTGTGCGTATATGAGCTATTATATTGTATATGTTCATTAGTAGTTTATGGTATCGTGTATGATACATATGAATGTGGGCTGTGTATGAGGGCTGCTTGTGGAATTGTGTGTGGATGGATATGTCACATTGTGTCTTTGGTGGTGTGTGGGAGATGTTTGGGGTATTGCATGTGAGAGGTTGCATGTGGGGTTGTGTGCATGTATGTGTATTGTTAGTTGTGTTGCGTTTGTGCGGATTCTGTGTATGTTTGTTTGTGGGCTGTTCATATTATTTGTATGAGAGGAGGGTTATTCTCCATTTCTGTGTATATCTAGCAGTGTGGGTGGGTTCCCTGGGTTCCAGTGGGGACCAGGCTGGCCAGGTACAGGTCAAGGACAGGAGCTGCGATAGCTGTCGAGGGCTGCTCTATTAAAGTGTGGATTCCCATTCACAAGTGCTGGGAGGCAGTGATCTGAGTTCAGTTCCTCTATGTGCTGCAATGCATAAATTGAGGATTGTCCTTCACCACCTCTTCGTATTAGCAAATATCTGAAGTTTTACTGGGACTCCTGATAGGCCAGAGTGCGTTTGGCTCTAGCAGCCTTGAGTGCCGTACAAAGACACCTCGAGTGCCGTGCATGGCACTAGTGCCGTAGGTTGCCTACCCCTGCCCTAGAGTGTGGTCATTTCTAGTTTTTCTATATATACATATCTATCTATAAACACATACATATACACACTCACTGATCAGCCACAACCACTGACTAATAGTGATGTCGTGAACCGTTCGCGAACTTTTTGCGAACGGTTCGCCACGGTTCGCGGCGAACTCCGGTCAGCTAACACATCCCGGCCAATCTCCAGCAGACCCTCCCACCCAGACCCTCCCACCTCCTGGACAGCATCCATGTTGAAGGCAGCTGTTTGTGAATAGATTTACAAGGAATGGCTTGTATTGGCCCATGAGAGTTGTATAATGTTATCATATCCTCTCTGAAGCAAGGTTTTTCTAAACTAAAGAGGTTTACATTTGTTGCCATTTTTTCATAGCAAGAATGTTCCATTTTTTTTGGTAATGTTTAATAGAAGGATATAGTTAAGATCTGGTCTGCCTAGTGCAATACACAGGGATGAGGGAGTCCGACTCAGAGTGAATAGCTCAGTACTGAACCAGGACAGGGATACACCCAAACCTGTCCAAAGGAATAAGAAACAGTGATACATTCAAGGTAGTGTGTTCAGGAGCTAGTTCACTTTAGTATGGCTTGTTTCCATTATCATCATAATACAATGTGCGTATTATAACTCCATACAGATAACGATTTTTGCTGTTGTTATTCTGTAATTAATAGTTGCTTCACATCTAAGCAGAGTATTTGGTGTGTAACAGATAGAATCTGCCTTTAGCAGATTTAAAGGTATACACACCATACATATCTTTCTCCGTTACTACTGATTGTCTTAGAAACAAGCCATACTAAAGTGAACTAGCTCCTGAACACACTACCTTGAAGGTATCACTGTTTCTTAATGTTTAATAGAAGCTGTCCCAGAACAGAACCCCGAGGGACACCACTTACCATTTTTGTCCAACTTGAAAATTTACCATTAATGACAACTCTCTGTACATCTAGACCACTTTCTTTAAGTTTGAACACTAAACTACTGTGTGTAACTGTATCAAATGCCCTGGCAAAATCCAAATAGATCACATCCACTGCAACATCCTGATCTATACCTATATCTACTACTTCTTAGAATGCAATCAGGTTAGTTTGACATGACCTATGTTTCATAAAACCATGTTAAGTATTTTGGGTCATGTGACCTGTGATGTCACAGAGCCAGTATCTTCAAATCCACCCCCCACCCCCCTATTTAAGCAGCTAAGGTTCCCCATGTCTCTAAAACACTTTTGAGAAAGCCTCTTGCCAGGTGAAACACATTAAGTGTATTTATTACATACTACACTATATTTGAC